TTAAAAAAAAGAAAGCAAGTAGTACCTTAATTTTTTCTATGTATTTTTTTTATTATATATATATATATATACTCTTATTTCCTTGGAAGAAATACAAGTATTGGTCATATTTAACTAATTAATACATTATTCTTTTACATTAATTAATATCATAAAATTTCCTACCCTTCAAGCACATTCTAGTCAGCTCCTTGCTTGTGGACCATTCTAACTAGGGGCGGAACAATAATTTTGCTTACGGAGTTTATTAAATTCAGTAATTTTTAACTTAAATTTATATTTATAATAAACATGTATGAAATATACATATAATCAAAAATTAAGTAAGTCGTAATTTAAAATTTTTAAAATTTATCGAGTCAAAATTCTTGTTTCACCATTGATTTTAATACAGAAACAATTAAAATTTCCAAAGTTAGAGCGTGTTTAGCTCAGCTTAAAAGCTGGTTTTTGACTTATTTAGTTGTTTGACAATACTCAAAATAATTTATTTTAAGTTAAGAAAAACTTATTTTAAGCCAAAAGTTAAAAGCTGGAGTAGGGGTGTTTTTTTTTTTAGCTTATAAGCTGTTTTAAGTTGATCACATTTTTATTTTTTGCCCTTAATATTTTTATACAATCTCCAAAATACCCACGTAACCCTCACATCTCTTTCTTCCATTTTTCCCTTTTCACGTTTGACATAGTAACTTCAGCACTTTTATCCAAACGCATAACTATTTATTTTAAAAATAAGTTTCACCACTTTCACATATATTTTTTCAAAACTGCTTTTATTAAGTCCATCCAAAAGGCCGTTAGTACACTTGGTTGGTGCAGATTCCATCTCCACCCACATCTTTGTTTTATACGAGCGAAGTTTCCACATTGTTTACAGCACACTAATTAATTACCAAAAAAATAATGAAACACAAACAATAAAATGAAACAAATGAAATTGACATAGTTTAAATATATATATATATATATAAAAAAAGCAAGTTAGGAGATTCTAGAAGGTTTTTAACACACTATTAAACTAGACTATATTTTCATAAGTCTTTTTTAAGTAAGAGAGAGAAGATTTCTTATTTCCATCACAATCTATAGGGTGATTAAATTAAAATAATACTTTTAATATGGTAATATTATTCTCCTATTTAGTTCAAACCCTCATAATTTTAACGAAAAGATTTCAAACAATTAATACTATCAACTAGACCATAACTCTATATATATGTGATATGGTATAAATAATTCATATCTTTGTTAGATGGCAATTTAAATAATAAAATAATTATTGGACTAACGTGACTTGTTACATTTTTTATATTTAAATATGTTGACTCCATGGAGTCTTCTTCTTTAAATAAGTCGTTTTCAAGGAAACTTCGTGCATAATAATTTTCTTTTAGGTGATAATAAATAATTAGAAAATTTAGTCAGAAATTTAAAAATTTTATAATATTTTCTTAATTTAAAATAATGTTTTTATTTTTGATAAAAAATATTTAAAATAAAAAATAAAATTATTTAAAAATATAAAATAACATAAATAAAATATTCGAACTACTCCAATAAAAGGGGGAGTAAACTTCAATTGCCAATATGCTTGTTGGGTCGTTCCACCAATCACTCAAGTACTATAAAAAGCCTCCACACATGTAGGGTAAGAGCCCGTTTGGCTCAGCTTAAAAGCTGTTCAAACTGACTTAAAAGCTGGTTTTTGACTTATTTAGCTGTTTGACAATACTCAAAACAGTTTATTTTAAGTTAAAATTTTTTTATTTTAAGCCAAAAGTTAAAAGCCGGGGTAGGGGTGCTTTTTTATTTTTAGCTTATAAGCTGTTTTAAGTTGACCACATTTTTATCTTTTTGTGCTTAATATTTTTATACAATCTCCAAATTACCCATATAATCCTAACATTTCTTTCTTCCATTTATCCCTTTTCACGTTTGACATAACAACTTCAGCACTTTTATCCAAACACATAACTACTTATTTTTAAAATAAGTTTCAGCACTTTTAAAAGTACTTTTTTAAAGCTGCTTTTATTAAGTCAATCCAAACGGGCCCTAAGTAAAATGTTTCTACTTTATTAATTGTAGAATCGTTTGAAAATAAATTATTTTATTGAGATAAGTTATTTTAGTATGTGTATAAGATAATTTATTTCCTCATTTTGATAATCAAAGATGGGATATAATAATTTTATATTTCATAACATAATTATTAGTATATCTTATATCTCAAATCAAAAAATCTATATGAGTACGACCCATTATTTCAAAGAATCTCTTATATTTATTTGTAATCTATTAAAATTTATCTATTATTTCAATGATTACTCTTTATCTTTCACATAATATGTTTATACTTACAAAATTAAATTTCATTTTAATACAATTATCATACTCAAAAGTATCAAATAAATATTTTTTAAATTTTATATCAAATAAATTGAAATCGAAGTTAAACAGTCAAAAGTAAAGTTTAAGTGTGTGGAATGTGGACCCATAAAAAATTCACATAGTGAAAATTGATAAGTATTTTATCACAAGTTATAAGTCTTAAATACGAAAACACTTTAGTAAAAAATTATAGGGAACTAAGAGGGAATTTGGATGAATATGAAAGTTCATCAAACCTATTTTTAATGGGAAATTTTCACGTATAGTCAATTAAAAATAATTAATTACTCTCCATAACTATTGTTTAATAATTATAATTTGTAGCTATATGTTATATGAAAGGAGAGAGGCGAGTGAGATTGGGAGAGAGAGGTGAGAGAAGGGTGAGAGAAAGGTGAATTGTGTATGTATATTGGTTAGACAATTGTATATTATACTTATGTATTTGTATATATTGCAAGAGAGATTGGGAGAGGGAGGAGAGAGGCGAGCGAGGTTGGGATAGAGGGGAGAAAGAGATCAAGAGGGGGAGGAGAGAGGCGAAAGAGAGAGGGCAGAGAGTGGGAGAGAGGTGAATTGTATATGTATATAGGTTAAATAATTGTATATTATACATATTTATTTGTATATCCTAGCGAATTATACATATACAAACATGACTAATTATATAAACTCGAAATCAGCCCACATAACTAATGTATAATGTTAGTCGCAAGTGATAATTATAGCAAGCTATGATGAATTATTAAATGCGTAATTTTCTCATTTTTAAATTAGTTTTTTATTTTCTAAAAGTATTTGACAACAAATAAAAATTACTCAAAACAAGATTTAAAACAAATTTAAGTGCTTGACAAATTGAAAAATTACTTAATGTTAAAAAGTCAAGAAAAATAGATCCCTCCTATTTTTTTTTATTTTTAACTTGAAAAATAAGTAAATTTATTTTTTTTCCTCTTAAATAAATACGAATTAATCGAGTCGCAGAAAATGAGTAGCGCGTGAGCTAGCATTAAACATTGCGCATTGTGTAAAATATGAAAATGAGAAGTGCGATTCCGAAGGTGACATCACGTAACTGACGTCATGAAATTTGTTTAATGGACGGACGGACGCATTTATATTCTCGTTCAGCAGCAGGAAGCAACCAGCCAGGAAGAAAAAAATACACACAGAAAACATCGAATACACATTTTATATTATATCAATCGAATGATAGAATAAAGAGAAGTAATTGCAGTAGCAGTAACCACAAATTAATCAGCTAGCCGGCGTGAATGCTACTTATGGACGGAGAAAAGAAGAGGAAGAGAACATCAATCGTCGCCGGAGATCGGAGTAACGATGACGTAAAACCTACTGTGAAGGAGGAGGAGCCGCCGTCAGAGGCGGAGGTTAACGAGTTCTTCGCAATTTTACGGAGGATGCACATGGCCGTAAAATATCTTCAGAGAAACGCTCAGATTCAGCCGGAAAACGTTAACGCTCACGGCAGCAAGTTAACCGCATCGCCGGCCGGTGTTAACGGAGATGCAACTGGACAGAAGAGAGAACGGGGAATCGTGAGAAAAGGTGATTTGGACCTCAACACTTTGCCGGACTGCGGAGACTAACGCAGTTTAAGCATAGGTTAATTACAGAAATGCACCTTTAATTATCGTAGATTCTTAAGATTGATCTGCTGTACAAATTAATTAAATGAAGCCTTTTTTTATATATATTTCTCTGATAATCGGTTTGCTCTTTGTGATTTACTTTAATAAATTTAATTTATTTTATCATTAGATGTTCCATGCAGCCCATACATGATTTTTTTTCACTAATATAAATTACATTTTAAAATTTTTGTGTCTAAATTTATAATTAAATCGTAAAATATTTCACACTCGAACCGCATGAAAAATCAATATGATGAAAAATTGAGTTCTGCAATTAAAAACCAACCGTGGAAATTACAAAATGGATGAGAAAATTCAACTTTCCTAATTAACTTGTTCTTTTCCTGTGGAATTCAATAGTTAATAATATATATTATGAAAAAAGGTTTAAATATAATTAAGTAAACGGAATTTTATTATATGAATTTTTATTCTTTGTTAATAATCTATATTTCTATCATTATTTGATTGAGTCGAAATTGTCCTTGTTTTACACTAAGTTTAACCGATGACTAATAAGAACATATTTGAACTGACATGCATATATTAAGGTATGTTTATTCCAATTTAGTGTCTAACTACAGATATGTAATTACATGTGAAGTTGCATTTTCAAAGCAATTTAGTTAGTTAAACTATATTGATTTTTTTCACCATTTTAAGTCAACACAGTACGAGTCTAATTTTAAGAAACTTCATATCAATTTAAATTAGAATTTCTAAGTAAAGAACAATAATCATAATGTCATATAACAAAAATAAATAAAAAAAATATAATGTAATATGGAGGTGAAAAATAGGAGCCAATAGCGGACAAAAGTAAAGATTACAATGAGTTTATTCTTACAAATTGTTGATCCCGTTGTACTAGTTTTAAAAGATTATTGTTTTTTTAAAAAAAACTAACCTAAACAGATTTATTAATTGTACTAATTAATCGAAATATGTATTTTAAAAAGACTGTACTTTTGAGTTTTGTCATTTGTGTGTATTTAAATCGTCTTTTTCTCAATAGTTATTTCACCGTCTCATGAGAAGAAGAATAAAAGAGCTGAAAAAGTGGAAGGAATCTTTTACTCCGTTCTTCTCATTTTAGGTGACACTTTCCAGTTTAAATAAGTTTTTATTTCATTTTAGGTGACACTTTTTAAGTTTTAAAATTTAAATACGTTTATTTTTTATCATAAATTTTTTTATATATTTTTGAATAATTAATTATTGTAATTTTATAATACTTTTATATATAGTTTTATATATATATATATATATATACAAGTTTTATTATT